TTTTTTAGGTAAGATGTAATTTTTTTTTGCAAGGGACATGTTCTCTGTCTTATGTTTTGTTTTAATAAAGCTTTTCTTTAGTGATTGTCTTTTCGTTTTTTTTTTCTTACCAAGTGATTGAGCTCAGTTATTTCCCTGCTCAGGAAAGATTTTAATGGATTGCATGAGATGACCAAAAGGGAATAATTGGAGGGCTCGCAGATACTGATGTAGGAAGATATTTCTATGGAAACCACATCCTGCATTATGGAAGAGAGATACCGCAACACACATTGGTATCAGAATGACAGCTGTAACCTTCCTTTCAAAGTGAACAATTGATGTTTCAATTGCTTTCATTTGAGCTTTTCCAGCAGAAAAATCTGCCTTAAACCCTGTGGTGGACAGGAGGTTATGCAAACTCCATTAATGCAGGAAAAGTTCAGTACACAGAAGAAGGTGAGTTGTAGGCCTTAAGTTGCCTTTAAATTCAGACACTGTGATCATTCTGTGAGTGATTTTAGAGTATAGCACTTTGTGTAGATTATATATTGCATGTTTTATTTCAGGTAGGATCTTTTTTTTTTTTTTAATTTAATTAACATAGAGGTGTAACATATTTCACCAGATTACTTGGGTCATGGCTCGATGAAGAGATCTTGTTTGCTGAGAACTGATTCTGTATTAAATTCTTTTTAGTGAAAAATTTCTAATGCTTGAATATGGTATTAATAATTGAAAGTGAATTCTTAAGGATCAGGTCTTTAGTCTTGTGAGGAATTCTCTGCAAAGAGATGAGCCCAGTGGAGAGCAGCACTAGTGTCTTGAGGAACCTGAATAGATTTAGCAGCCTGAATTCTTAAATGGATGTCTTGGAAGAAGAAGAGGTAGCTATTTCTTTCCAGAAACAAATCCAGTATTGTCAGGGAGGCTCTTTTCCTATGGCTCTTCTGTCTCAAAGAGAATAAGAGAATACAGTTAGGACTAATTTCATCTTCAGATTGATGGTCTACAGGCTGGAGGAGAGTACAGGCTTGCTCTTCATTCTTTCAGAAATGTGGGCTTATGGAACAATTAGTCTGAATGTTTATTTGTTTATCAACTTTTGTTGATATTTGTGCTTTAATGTATCTGATTCATTTAGAAGCTTGGATCTTGACAGTCCGAAGACCTAAGAGGATCTGAAGCAAAAACAGATGTAATATCTTCACCATCTTAAGAGAATGAAAAACAGAAAGCACAAATATCTTTTTCTCCCAGTGAAAATTCTTTTATCAAAAAGAAATCAGTTTATTCAAGGGTAGAATGATTTCAAAGTACTGTCAAAGTTGGCAGAGTTTTGAATGAGTATTTCAATTATTACACTTAGATTTTCAAAATATTATATTTCAATTATTATTTTATTATATTATTTAATTTTTTTCTGAATGTACACTCTCATAATTGTGTCTTGACATGATGGCATTTTTGCTTAGGAGACAAGAAGGTAAATGTGTGTGTATGAGAGGGATGGCAGCACCTGATGTTCTTATGGACATAAATGTGTCTGGCCTAAAAGTGAGATGTTAAACATGAGTATTAGTGTTAGCAGTGATAGAGTATTAGCTGTTAACAGTGAGTGAGTGCTAAGTAAATCAAGATATGAATATCTCTCAAAAAAACAAAAACAAAAATCAACCAACCAAATAAAAAAAACAAAACAACCCCAAATCCAAAGGCTGCATGGATTTTAAGGCTAGAAATTTCATTATGTTCATCAATCTTGATGTTTTACATATTGTAAGCCAGACAGTTTCATGCATGGTTGCTGTACCAAAAATGATTGTTTTGGTTGAAACATAGCCCATTTTATAGAAAGATGATTTTGATTTGACTGTTTTGTTTCTCAGCTGTTGGGAAACAGGAAATCCGCCATGTTCCTCATCGAGTTTTTCTCAAGTTTGATTTTGTTTACATGTGCACTCGATGGTCCAGTCTGAATTCATTTGGTTTAGGTCACCCATGGTGGATTTTTCTCTTCTGTTTAATGCTGAGCTATGGCTCTGTTACTATCAGGACTCCTTCCATGAGGGGATGATAGATACTTTGTGATCTAGACATGGCATCAGCAATCAGCCCTGAGATGTTTGAATCTGTTTCTGTGAGGCAGATTTTCCAGACCTTGAGTCATTCTTATCCTTTCAGAGAGATTTTTTTTTTCTTTAAAATTCCTTTTAGAAGCTTTAACATCATCAGAGACCCATTTCCAGTTACACTCACTCTGACTGTTACAGGCTAGCATTTCCCGACTGCTGAGACGTGGCTGTAAGTCATTATGGCATTCCGAATGGTGAACACTGTAAAACTTACATGATGCAGTGAAATGAAGAGGTATTTGTTTCAGTTTTTTGTCTTTAATAGGCACAATGGCTGCACCTAGTACTGGAGTGTTGAGTTGATCTAGCATCGTCTTAATGTTGCCACGAGATGGCACTGTTAGATAGCTTAACGTTGTGCCTTAGGTGTTGGAGACAGTGCCCAAGATTTGAACACATCGCTGGTTGGCTGGACTTCTCCAGGGAAAGATTACTTGCTAAGAGAAAGTAAGATTAAGATGCAGTAATGCTCGTTTTGTGTTTGCCACTCAATCTCATTGTATCAATGGAGATTATCCAGAATAGGCCCAGAGGTAATGATTTTCAAATAGTTGTGATGCCAAAATGAAGTCACAGAGAAGCAGCAAATGCAAGTTACACCCAGTTTGTGTCCATTCATGGTCATGTCTCATCAGGAAGCTTGGATAGGACTGTGCCATGTTATTGATCCAGTGATCAGTACTGGATAATTCTGTTTCTGTTGTTTCATAGATAATTTAGGTATCTCATTTTCTGTTTTTGACCCTTCTATTTCTAATATACACGTTCCTTCAGAGTACTACTAAGTACTTTCTTTGCTATTTTTCTTTTTGCATGCAAGAACACCTGCCACATGTTATGCTGAGAATGTTCTCAGCGTTAGAAAAGTAAAGATGTTCTCTTCTTGCCCTATAGGCTAAGTTTCTTCTTTTCCTACTGTTTTCTGTGACACTTCCAAAGGAGAGAAGAGCATATTAAGAAAGAAGATGTTTAATTTTATTTCTTCTTTGTTAATTTTTAAATTGCAATCATTTTGGTTTGTTCAAATCACTTTTTTGTGTCCCATAGGTGAAGAAGGAGTGAGTGAGCAGAACAATCTAAACTTCATTAAGTCTATTCATTAATATTAACTCTGTCCTTTTTACCATTAGCATATCAAGGCTGTTGCAGAAAAAGATGGAATTAACATGTCCACACAGAATTTCTGTTTTGTCAAACTTATCAGTCAACTGCATAAACAAAGAATATATAGAGATATATAGATATATACCCAGATATAGCTATTTGTTTAGCACTAACTTAGGCCTTTCTTTATGTATTCTTGCCATAGATAAGTATGCAATAAAATTTTAGGTACACAGAAGACAAAATTAGAAGTTTGTAATTAGCCTGCTTTTCAATTTGTTTCTTCTTGCTATTTTTTTTTATGATAAAGTCTCTGTTTAATCTTCTCTATTTGCCTTGAATTTTTGTGCCCTGAAGGATTTTACTTATTTATTTGTTTATTTACTTTGGTCGTGGTGGTGGTGTTATGAAGCAGTCTTTTTGGTTTTAATTTAAAATGGAGACTTCGTTTTTGGAAGATCAATAACCCCCATCTGATCAGATTCTTTTCTCCCAGCCACTTGACACTTAGATGAAGTTGAACTTCTTTTTTTAATTCTCATGGAGGAGATCAGAGGTTGCATTCACCATCATGAGTACATTTGGGGATGTTGGTATTCATTCAACAGTATTTGATTGGTAATTAATAGCTCAGCCTTTCTGCACTGTGGAATGTTAAAGGTCAGTGACCGTGAGTGGAGAAACACTTTGGGAGCTATTTGTGCTCTCTGGTAAACAGAGTGAACCTGGCTTAATGGCCTTAGTTCCATGCTGGTTTTAGGAGATACAGATGTGCAACATACCTTTTGTCTTCCTACCTAGAACCGGTAAACCTGTCCTAGATTTGTGCAAGGAGGAGAGAAAAACAACTCCTAAAAGGATTACTTCAACTGATTAATTTTTAAGTTGCTTGCTGCTTGGCATGTCCCTTTTTGATAACTATCTTAACGAAGATACGTTTTAGGTAAATGACATCTTCAAGCTGCACAATATAAAAACACCTTCTGATTCTCCCACCCTCTCCAGATCTTCAGGCTGGCTCAGTATTTTTTTTAAAGCTATTTCTCTCGTGCTGCATGCAGAACCCATCTGCTGTAATGCGGTCTGAAATGCTGCTTTTATCCTTGTTTGCGTAGAAGGTTGGTGGGTAAATCAATTGCAGTAAAAGACATATTGTCCCTCTTTGCTCTATGTCACTAGCACAAATTTCTTTCTTTTCAAGTGTCTCTTGGCAGAAGCCAAAGCCTTTGGCACAAGCCACCTCTGCTAGTTTGACCTCTTTTGTACATCTGGAGTGGAACACCTCTGAGAAGCACAGAACAAAACCAGCAAAATAGCAAGAGAAGGTCGAGAAGGGGTCTTGCTCCCTGTAGACATCAGAAGTTTCTGTGAGATGATATTTAGCATGTCCTGCCTGAACAGTTAAGGCATCAAAGACATTAGAACTTCGATAGGTAGTATCCTTGTGAGTTGTCAAACAGATTGCAAAGCATGTTTCTCTGCCATGCTGGGGGTGGAGGAAGGAACCTTGTGTCTTTTTAGTCACTGAGGTATCTGAGGCTGAGAGCTTCAGAGAGCCTTTGGCTTCCAACGGATGGTTGTACCATGCTGTGCTCTGTCCTTGCCTAGCTTCTCACTTACAGGCCTTAGCTTAGAGTGAAGTCTAAAGAGGAACGGGAAGGCTAGTTTCTACCAAAGACTGAGCTGACATCAGTTACAAGCAGTAAGAAGTGCCTGATTTTTGCTTCTGTGTTTTTATTTTTTCCTGGTCACAGCCTTGCAGTGACATTCTCTCAGATCAACCAGTCTCTTTGATGCAGCGTAATTACAAGGACAGAGGTGATTCCCTGTCCCCTGCCATTTCAGCGATGGGATCTGAAGGGGAGGTAAGACATACTGTGATAATTCACCTCAACTTAGCAAGGTCAGGACAAACATTCTTGCCTGTCTTAGCCAAGTGAAAAAGTCACTGTTGTTAAAAATCCAGGAGGCAGGCAGTATTCTGCTGCTCAGAACCCAGAAGTGCAGAGTAATACAACCATGACAGCTTTGATGCTAGATTATTCGGTATATTTGTAGCTGTGGATTGATGTAATGCTGATCAGAAGGAATCATCTTTGCCAAATCCATTGTTGAACCCTTGCCCAGGACAATAAGCTCATATGGTGATGACATGAGCTGAGCTGTGTTCTTTATTGTTGTTATAGATTTTGCATGGTCCCTTAGTTTCATCTGCAGTTTTTCATGCACATGCGCAGTTCTGCTTTTCTTCTTTTGTATCCTGCCCAGGAGTGTGTGGAGCTTCAGATGAGTCTATTTTTCATCACAAAACGCTGCCAGTAACTGCAATTGACTCAAAACAACTTACCCAGGATTCTCTTTCTTTAAAAGTAGATATGGACTGTAAATTTTTGTGTATGATGCATTAGAAGAAAAAAAACCAAAACCTGTACTCAGAAGAGATTTCAGCTGATATAAGGGCACGTGGTATAATGCCATTTGGACTAAAGTCTTCGTGGAGCTCATTAAGAGTGAGACTTTATGTTGCAGCTTTTTGAGGCTGTTTCCTTGTATAACCGTATCAGTGTGCATCAGACCAGGCTTTCTAGCCACATACTCTGAGTAGTTTGAACCTCACTGCATTCTGGTGGTGGATTATTCATGGGAGCCATCATCCCACACTGCACTGCCACTAAGGAGTAGTTTGAACCCAAGGATGCTCACACTAAACTTAGTAACCAATTAACAGTACCACTTGTTGAAGAATACCATTTGAATTTGTGACTTTGGGTGCTGAAGAGCAAACTTGCTGTGAGCAAAAGTTAGCCAGTGTATACTGTAGGCTTTATTTAATTTCCTTGAAGCTTCCAAATCATTTGCAGAGGCACAGATGCACTTTAGGGAGATGACAGGTTAAGAGAATGAGAATGTTGGCTTAGAGAATGGGTTGGTAGTGAATTGTAGCGTCATTGTGGAGGTAAGTCTCTTTCTGCATCAAACTGTGGTATCAAGCTTGCTAATTAGTGGTGGTGTTTTTCTTCCTTCTGTAACATAAGCTGTTCTAACCTGACCTATTGGTTCACAAGATAAAAGCAGCTAACCAGAATGGAGATTCCCTCTACTGACTGATCCACATCTTTACTAAAATTATAATATCCATGAACACAATTAAAAAACACATCTAAGAATTATGTATCTGGGAGCTTAAAGGTGGTGGTGGTAGTGGGAAAAAAAAGTCCGTGTTACTTCGAGGTTATTTTAGAAACTGAAACTGAATAGGTCAATACCCCTTAAGCTTTTTGGTCTCTAATTCTCTTAATGGTATGGCAGAAATTGTTAATTATATTATTAAAAAAGCTGTGAAGACTGTATTAATGTAATGTGACCTTGGATCAGTCAAGATCACATTTTTGTTATGATTAAAAGATTCCCTGTCCTGAAACATTGATCTCATTTTCAGCTGGATGCGACAGATGGAGAGGAGATGTTATCGAGTCTAGGCAGTAGGTGGCAGTATTGCATTTCATTCTGCTCTGTGCTCAGCTGTAAAATGCTCACTTTAGGAAGAGGCCGTGAACTTTTTCCCTCAGTTTCCATGCGCAGTTTTGCACTTAACGTGTATGGAAAATTCACAGAGAAAAATAATTAAAAATTACATCTTGGATCCGTATTTCTACAGTTACTCATGTCAGGTACTTGACTACCCAAACTTCCCTTATCCTTTGTCAGCTCAGAGAACAGACATTTACATGTTAGGGACTATCATCATCGTCTGTCTTATAGCAGGGATTCGTTGAGGCAGGGTATGTACCCAGTAAGTCGCTTTGCCCACTTGGTTGCTGTGATTTTTCTGGCTTTGTTGGTGATTTTTCCATCTCTGACTGCATCAACAGAATGAAAGCTGCATCAACTACTTTGGTTTATATCATGATAAGGGAAATCCAGAAAGAAACCTAGCTAGCACATCCTCCTTTGTACTTTAGTATTTGGACAGACCTTATAGCAGGGTGTGGAGGGAATAAGAGACATTTTGCAAACAGCTAGGAATCAGGACGGTGTGCGTTACAGGGTCTTATGCACATTGACAGCGCTGAGCCCTAATGTGCTGTGCTGCTGAGTAGGTGGACAAGGATTTCAGAATGAAAGTGGCATCTGGGGTCAACAATTTATGAAAATTAAATACGTAGTGGCATCTCTAGGATCCTATGCATGTAAAGTGCTATGCCTTTATTGTCCTGTGGGCATATGCCATGCATCTGCACAGTTTTGTCAGGTAGCAAGGTAATTGCTTTAAAAATCCTTGCTATTCAGGATGTTGCAGGATGCTGGCACACATACTAGGTGATGGGAAGCAGAGGGGTGCACTGGCTGGTGTTAAAGCTTCACAGCTGCTGACTTTTCTATAAATAACTGCTGTCTGCTGTAATTGGTCACATCACAGTCCTTGGTGATCTTTTATATTATTGCTGGCTGCTGGAAAACTCCTGGAGGCGTAAAATAGGTACCAGGAAGATCCTGCACCCAGCAGTGTGTTTCCCCAAGCGGCACAGCAGAGTAAAACAGAAATAGTGTTTACAGGGAGGTGATGAAGAATTTTCTGCAGCAGGAAGGATGAAAAAAAAAGATTGTATGTTTGAAATGATAGCAGCAGGCTACCTCTCATGCAGGATATTGCTGGGTCTTTCTTGTGGAAAGAAAAAGTCTTCATAGGGTTTCTAGTGGTGCACTGAATGGGTATTATTATTTGCCTCTGTCTTAGTTATGGGTATTTTTCAGCTCTCCATAAAATAACAGTGTCTTGCAAAAATTGAAAACTAGAGAAGAAGAATTAGGTGGTTGGCTTGTGTGAAATGTGTGTGGGTAAAATATGTGGTCTTCTTCCTGAAGGATTCTGACCAATTCACAGACCAACAGTGCTGAATGCTACATTCCACCTCTGCTTAAATAAGATCAGTTATGGGGTGGAGCGCAACACTGATGCGAAGCAGTCGACATCAGGAATCCGTGTGCTTTACTGAGGGGAGGCAGAATAGTGCTGGAGTTAGATGTTCAGGAGGGAATCTGAGTGGAAAGTGTTGAGTTGCCAAGGTTTACTTGGTGTAGTTGAGCATCTCGAAAGCTTTCCTGTTGTGAGAAGTGAGAGCTGTAGTGAACCACTGTAGAACTGTAGGGGCTTTAAGATCACTAGGTGGGTGTGGGTCATCCCCCCCTTACTTTCTCCTCTGTCTTAAGCTACCTTTGACCTTTTTCAACACACAGTGCCTCATGGTACATGCATTATGGAATGCACACTTCACTGGCCTAATAGGAACTTTGCTCATGTTGACAAAGAGTTCATAAGAACTGAAATCTTTCCAGCATGACACAGAAGCTGGCACAGCGAACAGGACTGTGGGATGACCTGTCAGCAGCATCTCAATTGACTTTTGCTGACTGATATCTCAAGATTAGGTGCTCTAGAGGGCAGTTAATATACAAAAGGATTTCTCTGAGATTTAAGCCTCTGTCCTGAATACTTGCAATCAGTGGGAAGTCTCTGGTTCCAGAAGTGTTTTTCCTTGTGATTTGGAAGGAACACTGAAAGTGCACGTAGCTTTGGGTCAGAAACATATTTTCCTTCAAAACATGCCAGAAAAGTGTCTATGTGACAGAAGTGAGGCAAAAAGTCCCCAGGGATGAAATCAGCAGGATGCTTTTTGTGGCCTCAGACAGCCCCACCAAGTGGTTCATGGGGCCTGATTTGAAAGCATTGCTAATATATTGCTTGCTGTAAAAAGGCAGGTACTGTATGAAAGCCATTGCTTATGAAGAAATCTAGGCTATTCTGGCATGAATTTGCTCATCCAAAAGATAATTAACTTGCTATGATCGTGAAGGGTGTATAGTAGTAGCAGGACATAATTTGCTTAATGCTGTGAATTATCCAAAGCAGTGAAGTATCTGTCCCTTGTGCAGTAGAGCACTCCAATAACATTTGGCTAGTCTAAGACTTACACCTTCAGCCTCGGTGTTGGTTTATGGGGGTGAAGATGCCCAGAGCCATATTCAAACCATGTGAAGAAGTAGTGAACTTTTCTTTGTCTCTAGCCAGGATTCAGTAACTGCGTAATAAGTGCTCTCACTTGTTTCTTCTGCTCATGAAGTTAAAAGTCAGCATTTATTTTAGGTGCTGTTATAAGGAGCCTGCGTATGGCTTTTATGTATGAGCTGGTATGTATGAGCCTTAAAATATTGCATTGGCAATGTAATAACTGGTGATTTGTAGCAACTGTGGCTCAGGCAGTGAAATCAAAACAAAGCAAAAAACCCCCAACAAACTAGAAACAAACCAGGCAACTGATAGAGTGAACTGGAGAAATGGGAGGAAGAATTTTAGTAATATCTGAAAATCTGATGGAGAATTTCATATCTTCATTTGAAGATTGCACAGGTGGCATTAAAGATAGTCACCTGAGAGAAGGAAAGTTCTGGGAGTGTAAAATCCCAACAAAATCAGTGCTGCAGTCAAGGAAATGAGCACATCTGAAGTAGCTCCTGAGACCCAGACATTATCCAGAGTGACCAGTTTGTATTCAGTGAAGATAGTGAAGAGATAAAGATTTATGTTTAGAGAAGGCTGCAAACTGGTGAGAGAGAAAGCTCTTCTCACCATCTGTCTTAGAGGACTGTATACCAGAAGAGAGCTCCTCTGATCGTCTGATGTTTTCCATGCTGATTTGCACTACTTTGGTGCCTTGCATAAACATGAAGGTTAGCTGGTGAGACACCTCCTGCCTCTTTTTCTTATTCAAGTAGTTCTTCAGATGACTACTTCTCATCCTGAATAACTAATTTGGTGAGGGAAGGGAGCTTTAGCTCCTAGACTACTGATTTAGAGTTTGATTTT